TTTTGAACCAGTGGGTTCTGTCGTGGGGAAGACGGTGGGTTTATAATTTAATAGGAAAATGCAGTATAATACTATGTTTTCCTAAAACGCAATATTATACTACGTTTTCCTTTAACGATAAATTTTCCGTTAAACTAAAACACAGCATAATACAATATTTTAGTTAGAAATGTAATTTTTTGCTTTAACTATGTAAATGTATTTTGAGTTCAAAATACCATTATTTAGGTTTCGGACTCGTCCAATTGATAATGCTATACAGTACAATATCTTAAGGCATATAAACAGTGCCGTCGATCGCCGACAAACAGTAATACATACTGTAGAAAAACTTAATACATACTGCAGTCACTAAATTTTGTAAATAGGTTTTGTACAATCTTCCGCCGTATATGTCAAAAATAAAGGAGAGAATCTATTTTCAGCATTTAGATACTGGAGTTAGAGCTGTGCAACTATGCAAGTTAGTCAAACTCAACGACGCAGCAGCTGCGTAGTTGGTAGAGTCGGTCAAATTCGTGGACGTAGTAGATATGTGGTTGGTTGTAGACCATGTCTTTTGTGGTTTTGCTATTGGTACATCAACTGTTTCTTTCTGCAACGTCCGTTTACATTAACCCGTGTAATTGAGAGTTGGGGCCCACATGCAACTCAAAAGACTCCTTGCTCATGAAGGAAGCAACTAGTATCTATCTGTGTGTTGAAACATGGCCATTACCTACTAAGGCGAAATCAAAATTTTAAGTTTGCTATTCGGTGTTTGAGGTGAATTTAAAAATTTTAAAATATGATTGCACGATTAAAAAACCAAAAAAGGAAAAATACTCCCACTGATCCATAATAAATAATTAATTATCTTGGGCACACCTATTAATGAAATAGTAAATTAGGCATGTGTAATCTAATAGAGGGGTGAAATTACGCATTGCGCTGACTCAATCAACTCTTTGCTGCGCGTAAGAGGCGACAAAAGGTGACTATCGAATTTGGGATACAATTCCTTGTTGCTTCAATAATCATGTACATGGTTAATACATACTAAAGTTTTGTGAACTTATTTTAACTATTCTCAACCACAAATTTAAACTGTACGAGTGATCTAGCAATAATCAGAAAATGATCTCCTTAGATCAAATCCATATTTACAGTATTTTCATTTTTAAATAATCCTTCGCACTCTGTTCAAAATTCGTTCTTTCAAATTTCTTTAAGAATGTAAAGGTACAAATTAAAACTAGAAAAAACCATTTAAGTTTATTTATTAAAATCATACGCATAATTTATATTTTATACTATACTAACATGGGCGAAGTTAGAGGAGTAGAAGGTGGTTCGACTAAGTACCCCTTTGCTAAAAAATTACATTATATATAATGTTAAATTTTCTTTTAATTTTACATACATATATATGTGTGCGCATAAAATTAAAAGAAAATTTAACCATATATATATATATAGGGAGAGAATCCATTTTCCTTCATTCCCTACCTTTTTTTAATCAACTTGGTGAAAAGCGTTTCTTTGCCACTATAATACTAAGTATATCTCATTTTCAGTCTAATAAATCAACGTTTATCAATAAAGTATATTAACTAAATAACCTCATTATTATTATTTGTTGTATTATAAACACCATATTATAGCTCTAATATAATATCTTTACAAACCTAAACATTTACCTTACGTCCACTAAATAGTCTCATTATTACTATTTAATCTTTCATATTCTAATGAGCACACATTATAATTCTAGTATAATTTATTGACAAACGTACCAACAGGTTTAAGTCGGTAAAAATCAGACCCAGAGAAGTAGCGAAAGCATTCAGCACAGCAGGGACGGTTTCTAATGAAACATAAAGTTTTCCACGTGTCGGAATGCAGGCAGAGTTCAAATCGGCAAAAATCAGATCGGAAGAGCAAAAAGTAGCGTCGCGTATATATAAACTCCCATGCAGTGGGCAGTAATCAGATTGTGGAATTTCCATTACGAACAACTACCGTTCATTTGAAGTTTCCTTTAGGAACGAAAAACCCACAGCCTAGGCGTATCAATTATGAACTTCCGTTTGTGTTAACTTCTTTTCAAGACAGTGGTCATTGTTATGATACATCAGTTGATTTGCTGTTTTCTTCAAACGATGAAGCTGCCCGATAACCGGTAACTCCACATTGTAATTTCATATTTCACATATTCCCGAATAATGTTTTTTTTTTATTGATTTCCTTCACTTCTATTGTAACCATTGTATTATTTCTCAATCAATATTATTATCAATTTTTACTTCTCAAAAGTTTGGTTTGACCCAAGAACCGATTCGTTCTTGACAGCATTAGATCCTCCTAGCCAACTTTTTTTGTGATAGGTGTCATATTTTTAGTGCTCCCTTCCTTTTAATCACTTTATGTGAATGTATTTAATGTGTACCTGGAGCTTAAGAGAGAAAGATAAGAGCTTTAGATTATGCCATAATGCAATAAAATTTGAGAAGTTTAAATTTAAGTTGTTTCTAAATGTATGCTAGTGTTATTTTGCTGGAACAAACGAAAAAGTATTTGGAAGGAAGAGAGTTTAAGAAAAGATGCCTTCTTTTGTCTCTCTTTCTACAAAGACCTTTTCAAGTTGTCCATTCTCAGAGCTTGTACTAGGACTGCACTCTAGTCCATACAAGAGTTTATTCGTCTACATTCTGAACCATTCGCATAACCTTTTAAACGTGCTACTGCTACAATAATAAAGATCCTCATCACGCTCCGTACACATCTCACGTGGAAAGAAGAACTCATCACGCTCACAACCAATTATTTGGTCTTACAGATGAACATTCAAATACTTAGTTTTTATTAATTCTGGAAACTCCTTATTTGCAGTGATTCAGGACTCTTCATGCAAATGGGAATTTACAAAGTAAAGATGCACCAGATAACCTTGGCAAGTTGAGCCTCTACAGGAAACCCTTCCTGAATAACTAGAGGAAATTCAGGGTCGCTTTTGGCTGCCGACAATTCATGCTAGCTGGTGCAAGGTTAGTGAAATCTAAAGCCATCCCATTGTTCACTTCTCTCTTGTTCTTCGTCGTAGCTATCTATGTGGGGGGG